AAAAAAAAAATTATTTTCTTGCCATAAAAGGGACGCAAATACGAAATAAAATGTTCTAACCTCGAAGTTTCGGATATGGGAAGCGATTTGGAGCACGATATTGACTAGTAGAGAGTGAAACAGAGGAAATTGAGGGAGTGTAAATCGAATGGGTGAAAACGAAAACGAAAACGGAAGAATAGAAAAGAAGATGGAATGAGAGATACGAACAGTTTGAGTTTGAACTGAGGGGTATAATGGTCATTAAATTAACGGCCGTGGTACTCTTTTTCACGGTCGTGGTCAAGCAAACAATTTAACCACGGTCCAACCTAGTCCATTAGTTGTCTTTCATGAACACCACGGTCGTGGTACTAGTTTTCACGGCCGTGGTCAAGCATTCATTTTAACCACGGTCCAACCTAGCCCAAAGCAAAAAATTCGTGTTACTTTTTTACTAACCAAGGTCAAACTAACAATAACCACGGTCGAACCTCCCCATTAATTTCCTTTCGTGTTAATTCGTTTGCGACTCCACTTACATTCCAGATTGAGGTTAAAATAGTAATTTAATCCTTGAATATTCTATTCAAAATATTAAATTGGGTCAGTTGAGTCAAATTTTTTAACTGAGGTTAGTTGAACAAACAACAAACTTTTTTAGGTTATCCATGCCAATTTTCCCTCTGCAAAGGGTTTAATGAACTCAGCGGCTTGCTCCTCTGATAAGGGAGACCAAGAGACATTAGATACCATCACTCAAGCTTTACCTCCCCCTGGTAAAGATTTTTAAAAAACCAATTGCTTCTGCTTCTTCCATTTGATGGTCCGTAGTAAGGCTATTTCCAGCTTGATCAGTGATCTCTGAGATAAAGTTTTGACGTTTACGAGCAGTGCAAACCTTGTGAAAGATTTGTAAGCCCCAATTTCTGCAAGGATGACATTGTTACCTCTGGCACGTTGATCGGGTAGCAATTTAAATTCTTTCTTCTCGATGGCCATAGCCCAACGGAGGACCTCTCTCTCTCTCTCACTCTCACTCTTCGATACATCTGAAAAAAAATCAAAAGAACAATTTTAGAAAATATAATTTGGAATTTCCTTTTATCACCATTTATAATTGGTTAATGGAATTGAGAACTCGCAAACATTGGAATTTCGATCTGCCAATTGTTTGGGCGATCAGTTTGTTGGTCTCTATGATATTGGTTCTTCCATATGCGGCGGCTGTGGTTGCTTTAGCCTACTTCGTTTGCTATTGCTTATTGATTTATTGTGTGTGGCATATGGATATTCCATTTTTAATTTCCAAATACAAATTAAATATACCTTCCGGGAAAAATTAAAATTGTTGCATTTTTGTTCTTACAACTCTCTCTTTCTCAATTCCATTTTATCATTTCATAATTTATGTAGCTTTGAATGGAATGGTTTCCTTTCCAAATAATATATATATATAGAGGTTAAACGAAAGCACTTCAATTTCGATATATCAAAGCTAAATGGGTAATAGGTGTATGAGTATGAGAGAGTAGTTCCAGTAATTAACTAGGCAAGACCTCTTTTTTCTGTGTTCCATCAAAACTTCCCTCCTATGAATCCTTTAATTTCTCATGGATCATAATCTGATCTTACAGTCTTTTAATTGTTAAATGAAATTTAATCATTGATTACGTGCCACACACCCTTAATTATGTTATAATTGCATTTTTATTGGTTAAATTGATATTTATGACCATTGTATCAATAATATAAATTAAATTAGTTAAATATATCTAATCCATTAACATAATCATTTGAATTCTAAGTGAGGTTAAAACTCTAGATATCAACATAAATACTAAACATTAGTAGCTAGCTTTGCACATAAGTATATTAAAATCATGGTTCCACATCATAGTGTTTGAAAGATTAAAATTGAAAGATTAAAATTGAAATACTAATAGAGTTGAGATAAATGGTAGATTGTTGGTGGTACTCTACTTCAACTAGAAGTAGAGGGTTCTGGCCTGCATAGTTCTACATCAAAATGGCCAATAGGAAGACCACGCAACACTCGAGCTTGGAGTGTTTTGGTGGGAGAGTTTGGAGGCGATCCCATTTGCTTGACTTCAAAAGTGAGGTAGTACATTATACCAACAACAGCTTTATTAGTTGCCTTCACCATCTTTACAAATTCAAAACTTGTACCCTACATTCATAATAAATATGATCAAAACTACATATCAAAGTTGAAAACATACAAATTATAATGGGAAGATAATGGGAAGATAATGAATACATTTTGTTGATTGAAATAGTCAACAGCTTTGTCTTTGTCTGCGCATTCTTGAAGCTCTTCCGAATGTAATCGACTCCCAGTTATAGTCTCAATACGACCACAAGCATAAGAATCGGGAAAAGAGGGCATGTCAAAACCCTGTATTCATGCATACAAATAAAAATATGAAGACAAACAAATAAACTAAGGTGATATAGTAATATAATGAAAAGAAGGATAAAAAACCTCAGTTTTCTTCAAGGCAATATAGTATTCTATCTCCTCTTCTAAGGTCATCTCACGGGGTTCATTACCAAAATAAGCATCATCATGGATGGTCATCTCACGGGGTTCATCACCAAAATCATCATCATCATCGCTGAGTTGGGGTGAATTTGAAGAAGCCATCAACGCTGCCTGTATTTTCTTTTTCTTAAAATAAGCGTCAGAAGAAAACCCAAATCCAATTCTGCTACCAAACGAAGAGCAAATATATTCCTAAAACTGTATCAATGATGTTTTAGACATTTGTTAACAATCAGAGACAGGCGAACTCAAAATAATTTATTGATAATTAGCAATTACAAGAGAGAACAAAAAAAGGGTAATTCAAGTCTAACTGAAGTGAAGAAGTCGTGGAAGGAGAGAGTAAAAAATACAACAACCATTGACAAGTGAGAGAACAAAAATAGGTAATTCAAGTCTAACAGAAGTGAAGAAATCGTGGAAGGACAGAGTACGAAATACAACAACCATTGAGAATTGATCCAACAAGACCCCTAAATTGCGACAACAAATTTGGAAGAGAGAGGGGAAGGTTTCGTGTGGTTACCTCTTGAGAAAAACCCTAATCCAAGTTACAGACTTCTGTAAACGGCTGATTCGAAGGGAGGCTCCTTTGTCTTCTTGAGGTGAGGTCGGATCCTTTAAATAGAAGAAATTACAAACTTAAAATATATAATTTTGAATTTTGAGACAAAATAAAAAATATATAATACATTTGAGGCAAAATATGGTAAGTGTTATAAATTTCATTTTGAATTTCCAACTTACCATTTACGATATGATATTTTAAAAATATTTATTTTGTGATATTAATATTTTTGGGATCCGGTGGGGAATTTACCTCAATGAGCCCATTAGTTGGGGAAAGAGAGGAAATTCTGGAAGGCAATAAAGGAGGAGTCAATGAGGAAAATAAAAACATTGAAATTAGGCCGTTAAGTCCTGGGGAAGATTTTAATTTGGAGAAATTGCAGCAAATTAAAGGAAAATTGAAACTATTGATTTGGAGGGTCCCAAGGAACTTAACGTTGGGGTGAGTATGGAATAATGAAAATAGTAATTAATACACCCTCATTCCAAAAATATTACCACGATAAAAAGGCCGAGATTTGTTATTGTTACAGTAAAAAGGTGGAATCAGTAATAAACTGCCATCATTAGGGTTTTTTTTTTCTTTTGTTTTAATTGAACAAGAGGGTGGAAGATAATTCAATGAAATGAAGAGGCATTTATGAGGATCTTAGATTCTTAAGGGATAAAATCTCCTCTGCAAATGCAATGAAATCCCAAAATTCTTGGTTTAATCCAACTTTCGTTACTAATTTTTTTCAATGAATATATAGAAAGAAAGAGACAAAACTTTAGCTATCCTAACTTTTTATATTCTAACTTTTGTATTTAACTCTTTATTTTTACTCAATAATTAATTACTCTTTTGATGATTCAATCATTAATGAAAAGATTAATTAACCGTTCTTCTGATGATTCAATAATTAAATTTCTTCGGATCCTGCCTTTTATATATAGTATAGATGAGTCACTGTTAATAACATTATTTCCTAAATATTGACATCTTTTAAGCTAATTGGACCAACCATGACAACTTTGCACAATGTTTAGGGACACTTTAAGAGGGATGCAATTTAACCATACAAACGGTATTTGGTAGTAATTGACACCAACTCCTCCTTTTGAAGTTGAAGCGGCTCAAACTACTATATCCCAATTTGTTCTACTTAAAAAAATAAATATAATTTAATTTTATAAAACCTTTGATTATTATTATAATTATTATCATTATTTTGAAGAAAGCCCCTAGTTATTATTAGATAATTGAAAATTTTCTTTGGACATAAACATTACAAGAATGTTAATGTCCAAAAGAAGTTTAGAAGATTTGATAATGATAACGTTTTAGAAGATTTAATCAGATAATTGAAGCAAACTTTGAACAACTAAAATCTTAGAAACTATATTGAAACTGGATAAAACTTAATCTACAACGTGTTGGAAGTGCAACCCAACACTTGATTATCAAATCAATTATTTTTTTTCTCCTTAGTATTTGAAACAGATAGAAAATCAAAATATCAGACGAAAATTGTATTTTGTATCAAATGCATTTATACAAATTTGAGATCATACCATATTGCAATTTCGTTTGGATATGCAAAACACTCAACAACCATATGTTTGAGTAATAAAAGGACAAAGTAAAGTATTTCATCAATTTCTGTCCCATATCTTCTTTCTCTCAATCGTGATACATTGCAAAAGAATTAAAACTTGTGCAAATTTGACGCAGAAATATGAATGTTTTGCTCTGTAAATTCTAACATCAATCTTACTAATTAGTATCGAAGTCACAATTTAAAATTGCCTATTTCAAAGGCTATTTCTCTTGTTACCCCAAAATAGAAGCTTTTTATTCAACCCCATCTCTTCCCCCTTCAGTCTCCCTCTCAAATTCATCAAACAAAGGCCCGCAGCCCACTAGATTATATGCCAACCAAAACCCAAAACAACTTGATGCCCTTTCACCAAAACCCACCGAGACTTTTAAAGCAATTCAAATCAACAAGTCCATTGCCCAAAGCCCTTTAACAAGCACCAACTCTCAAGAATTCAGCCTAATAATTGACCTCCCATTGTCACCCATGTCTGATTTAGCCATAAAAAAGAGTCTAAAAGTCCTTTGTACGGAGAATGATGATAGCGCATATGAAGGCCGCATCGAAAGAAGAAGTTTGAACTTGAGAATTATTCCAGAACAGAGGAGACAACTCTCCCTGATCAAAGATAGAATCACCTCGGTTTGTCCTGATTTTGTCATTCTTACTAAGACTAAATTCTCTTTAATTAAATCTTTATGGAGCTCTATTAGCATTGTTTGGGCCTCACTCGATGCTGTGGGACAGAGTCTCTGTAACAGTGCAGGATGTTGTAAAGTTTGCTTATCACCGTACCAAACGGCTGCCAAAAGCACTTCTTCTTGAATCCACCACTCTTAAATGGAGTCCTTGCCCCTTCAGGTTAGAAAAGATAAAAGGTTCAAAAACTTATCCACTCAATTTGGCCCACTTTATAAGTTAATGGTTATTGGTTATGGAGGGCATGTTTTACTCTTCATAAAGACGCTAAATTCTCTCTCTGCAGAGACACAAATTATTGGAACAAGTTAGAATTATAGATTCCGTAGCAGCTATTGAATTAAAAGAAGAAGAGGGTAGAATCGATTATTATTTGACACCATTAGATACTATAAAAAAATTAATTTTTAGATACTATATAAAAAAAAACAATCTCATTAAACTCGAAAACTGGTTATGTGGATGGGAGAGGTGGGTTGTCTCATCCTCTCAAAACTTGATTTTGGAGGGATTCTCTGCAAAAGATGCATGGTAGACTTCGCAATGCCCTAGACTTGCCCTAGCTTCCCGCACGCTCGCTTTTCTCTTCCTGCCAGACTCTTTCTCTGTAGCAGGGTACTTGTTGTCATTCTCACTGTTCAGAGTCGCTTTAGGATCTTCCATATACTCCTTGAGATACCCTCTCCGAATAAGCCCTTCCACCTCTTCCTTGAGATCAAAGAAATCATGTGTGCATGTCCGTGATCTCGGTGGAAGAGGCAATATTGCCTTTTGCTTCTCTTGTTTGGAGGTGCTTTCATCCTCTCTGGCCATCTGAGCAACATTTGATCATTGATCTCCGTCAATACTTGTTCAAGTGGGACTGTAGTCGGAGTATATTTCTCGAACTTTCAAGGCGGATCCTTTTGGTTAGTTCGATCTCGTTTTTCCCATCTCAACCCCTGTTGCTTCTCCCTAGACATTTCTCTTTTTTAGTCGGCTCGCTTACCTTCGGGTTCCTTTTTTTAGTCCCCAGCACTCATGTATTTTTGGGCTCGGCTCAGTGCTTTTGCAAAGATGCTCAGGGTCTATTTTCTGAACGAAAACGACAGGTGCTCATCTTTTATGTCGGACATGAAAGCTAGTAGCGACACCGCATCAGTAAGACCTTCCACTTGTAGCTTCTTTTCATTAAACCGAGCCACACAGTCATGAAGGCTCTCCGTCAAACCATGAATATGAAATTATACGTGCTTTTACCAAATAATTTAGTTGTCAAATCATTTTGAGTTAAATTTTACTTGTATTATAATCACTGACCAGCATCTTGTATGTTTACGTAATTTTGTATTTTGAGGAGAGGCTATAAATATGGTTGGTAATTATATAATATAAGAAAAACTTAAATCAAATTGATTTGACAACTGAATTATGTGGTAAAAGTAACTTTTGTTATATATATGCTTCCACAATTTCCTCTCTCGGCTGAGAAATCTTGCTCTTAAGGGATACCATTCTTCACTATCCACCTGTATGCTTTTGGAAATTAAAAGGGCTACATAGCCCAAAAATGGTTATAATTAAATTTGGTAAGGTAATTGAGTCGGGATTATGCAAATTTTGTAAGAACCATTATTTCTTTTTTAGAAAATTATCAGCGGTTAAAAAACTTTCCAGGAATCGAAATCTAAAAAGTTGATTTTTTTTTCGTATTAAATTCAAATTGAACAATAGAATTATGAGAGGGTCAAAAATCCGAATTTCCCTCAAGAAAGCTACCCAGCCTGAAAACCCAAAACCAAAAGGAAAAGCTCTCTCACTGAAGCAAGGTTAGGGTTCTGTTATTTCTTCTTGGCATCCTCCCTGTTGCAACCCACAGTCTTGCTCTCTCGCCGGCCCTTGTACGTATTTTCTTTTCTTTTTTCTTACATTCCGAAATCTCATTTGTTTAGTGTTATCGTGCAAAAAAAAATTGAAATTGACTAGCATTTCAATTGTTTGATTATGCAATTAAGCAAGTTTCCCTTCAGTAGCCATATATATGGGTCTCGATCTATATAATCGAACTAAAATTTTCACCTGGTTCCATTCAAAATCAAACTGGTTTGATCTTTATGATGTTGGTTCTTGTATTTTATTTTTTGGTTGTTTAATGGTTGCTTATCATATGGATTGGCATGCCAAGTCAAAAACTCTGTATCCATATGTATTCATAGTGAAATCAGAAGCTGTTTGTTTTTTCCTCTACCAATTGTGCACCAATGCATAAATCCTTCCCTTTTGGATAGATCCTAATGAAGAAACACTTTTGTTCTTTGTTCCGTATTCTAAATTCTTTTTATCCTTTCTATGTTCCTTTTTGTTTTCAATTTTTTTGTGTAAGTCATGCGTCTACTACAGCTAATAGTATTTACTCCATTTGAGAACCATATTGAATTTTTCAATTATGCATCTCTTAGTTGGTGTTGGTTGGTGTTGGTGGATTCGTTTTTTAATCTCATTATCGATCCCATTATATTATTGAATGCAAGAATTATTCCTTTATGAACCCTTCTGGTCTTTTTTTATTTCCTTTGTGTCTGTGATAGATGCCTAGTTTCATTATTATATGTAACGATATTGTAAATAGGAGTATGCTTTAAAGAAAAAAAAAGTAAATACGAATGTGCGATGTGACTATGATTTCATTCAAACGGGTAGGAATTCGAATCCACGACATTAAAAAAACCGGGTCGGACCGGACTGAGCATTCTGGCACTCGTAGCTGTGTTAAATGTTGATAAACAAAATAAAACCAGTACGGGTGGTGGTTGTTTAAAATGTTTGGACAATTGCGAGAAGAAAACAAGGCAAGTGAACAAACAATTGGACCCATTACCAGAATCCTCGAATTGAGGGGAAATATCTCCACCCCCCTCTTCTTCCACCTTTCAGTTACTCACACTCACAACTCAGAATCCAGAGCATCGTCATCAGATTTACATTATCAATGTCGGGTCTTCTTCTACACTCCTCTTCAGTTGCGAGCGTTCCGGTATTGCCATTGCCCACCTCTAATTTCTAACTGCTTTCGCTCTCTTCTGTTCTTCCTTTTTCTTCCCCTGATTTTATAATCTGATTCTATTCAAGTTTGGAGGAATTGGGAAATTGAACCAGGAGCGGAATCATAATTCAATTTTATCATCCAAGAAGTCCATGCGTGGCAGCTATCTYCGTCTCGGTTGCAACAATTCTAGAAATAGCGTCCGAGCATTTTTCTTCAATCCTGCAGAGGATCCTGTCCTCAAAGAAGCTCTTAAGGTATCCTAACAACTCTTACATGAAAAGCCCTTTGTTGGGTTTTGCTCTTCTTGAATTAAGGTGCTCCTCGATGCTGACTATTTGCAAAATACGAAGGGTATAATTGATTTCCCATGGTTTTCTCATTGCACATGAAGACTCAGATTATCTTTTTTACTTGTCTGCATTTTCGAGTACATCGAATATGGTCACATTTCTACTGGTGCGAGTTAAGACCAAGAGGGATGGATTTAAGATTTTTCAAGTCCTGATGAAACTATTAGAATTATGTAGGGCCATAGGTATTCAGGCTTACTGTACATGGCGGAATGGTTTCCTGGAATAGACATCCGAACCAGCGAGGGAACTATCAGATTTGGATAACAAGAACCGTGATGCATTTTTTCTCGCCTGCTGCTAACTTTTCTTTCTGATGTGTTGGCTAACATTACTCATTTTAAATTGAGAAACAAATTTGCCACTTTACTTTTGTCTGTGTATAGATCAATAACAAAGGGAAGATGTTTACTGTAAAGGAAGCCCAAATTAATTGTTCCGCTTCCATCTCTTTGATGATGACTACATGACATAATTATCATTGAACAACCAAGCAGCTCTCATGATTTCACTGATCTGCTAGTAATAATCTTGAACTAACGGAGAAAAGAATATGCCTTCGTGATCTGGGAGGTTAGTTGCTGAGGAAAATTTGAAAGATGTTTATAATTTGTAGACTTCTAGTAATAGAAAACTTTACCCCACCCCTCCCTTTTGGGGGGTAGGGGGTAATGTTCACCTTAATGGAGATGTCGCCAAATTTGTATTCTCTCAACTAGAGAGATTGAATTTAGTGTTGCTTTCACAAATCCTCTAAATCAATATTTTTCATATTTATGAACCTATATTGGTTAACATACTGATGTACTGGAGAACCAGAATCCACGGCAGAAGACACTGAAAAATAAGACTAAGTTGTCTAATGTATATATTGATTTCTCTGTTTCCTGCTTCCAAAATAACAGAGTGTATCACGTATACTCAGGGAACTACTATCCAAAATAGAACCAAGAAGCATACACTAATCTGGCTACTTATCTTTCCCTATCATCCAGAAAAGCTTCCTCTTCCACTTCCTCATACTATTCAAATGACTGAGAGTATAGACTTGTCATCTTGCATCTGTCCCTGCTTAGTTTCCACCTAAAATTATTGGAATTCTGCCCATGATTGAAATTTATTATGTCTTTGGCTTTGAACGTCTTTTCCCCTTCCTTTACCACTCTCCCGTTAGCCGGAAACACTCATGAGTGAATGCAAGAAGTCATTCCACTCCCTCTCTCCCATCCACAACATTGACAAGTCATGACTGAAAGAAGGATGTAGTTCTGAACGGACTGATATGCAGAACACAATTTGAATTATTTGGGTTTGGGAAATACTTTATTTTGTTGATTCACTCTCAGTGCTCAGTAAGATTGAAATTTGCTAGAAGCTTATTGGCTTCTCGTTACTAAGATCCGTCATCTTCACCATGTCATGTTTGGTTTCACTTGTGAGGCTGTTGTACCTACTGTTTGGCACTAAAACTTGAGTTAATGCTGTATCAGGGGTTCATCTGAGATTTAATGTTTGTTGATTTCCAAAATCCTTACTGCTACAAACAAGTGGAGACTACTCAAGCCAAAAGTGAAAATCACTTCATTATGAAAGAATATATATCCATAAAGTTGCAGCAGTCCCAATCACTTCTTGTGACCGAGTGTGAGAGAGTTTGTTGTCATTTCGTATTTATAACAAAATTGGCAATGCCAGGTCAAATACTTAACGTTGCTAGGACAAGATTGTTTGTTGGTTCCTTCTGGAATCTGGACTATAGCATTCTTCGTACGAAGTACAAATTCTTTAGATGTCAAAAACACTCTCATAATTTAAGCAACTGTTGTTTGCACTTGTGTCTGCTCTGCTGAACTTTATGAAATGCTTGTGCTTTATATCAAACATTTTATCAAAGCAATCTCTGTTGGTGGCTGTAGCCTTCGCAGGTGGGCTATTTGCTGGACTTCTAAGGCTTGATTTGAACGAAGAACCACTAAAGGAATGGGTCAAGAGGACAGTGGAATCTGCTGGAATCACAGAAGAAGATGAGACTCAAGCATCTGTAGCAGAGGATGGCCCAACCGAGATTGAGATTGAATGATGTGATGCCATGAACGAGCGGAGTGTGGTACAAATCTTATTTTCTCCAACCCAATAGTTGAAATTAAAAGTTGTCAAGTGCTGATAAAATGATAATTGATTTGAAGTAAGATTTGCCAGATATCAGTTAATATTACTATGTTATCCTTGAAGTGAAATTGAGCTAGGAGTTAAACCTTTCATAATCCAAATACTTGTACTTCCTCTAAAAGTGTTGTTCTCAATCTTTCTTGATTTAAGAGGAAGTACTTTACATTCTGAGAATCCCATCCAATCTCCTCTCTCACAGCTTAGAAGCTCTGAAAATCTCTACATTCTGAGAAAATCACTCTCTCCACTCCTCAATTTGAAATCTGTATCTACCCCTTCTGCTTTCAATAATATACCCTTCTTGTATTTGCTTGCTTTTTTAAGATTACACAATAAGATTATATATTTCGATTACACAAAAAAGAAAAGAGTGAAATTAAATCCAGTTCAGTTCAGATTTTGCAGATCGATCCGTCGGTTCTTGTTGATCAACGATCAACACATAAGAAAAAATATTAGAGAGGAAGAAGATGGGTGCCAGTTTATGTTTTAAATTTTAATTAATATTTTCCGTTTAATGAAGAGCAATATTAAATATTTTGATCCAATGACTATCATAATAAAAATCAGAGTGTATTGTACTACATTTAGAATTAAAGTATTGTACCAAATTTTGTTTGCAAAAAATACTCTTAACAGCACCAGCAGTATTAAGGCCTCATGGGACCGGAAGAGAAATAAAAGCAAAGTAGTAGAGACTGCAGAGTAGGATAATTCATTAAGTACAGGATAAAAAATGACGGTGAACCATTTTCATGAAATCTTTGGACAGAGACTACTTCATTATCTGCGTGAAGATCAGATGAAACATTGTACAGAAAGACGACCCAGAAAATAATTCAGAAGATTAGATTTGATTTCCAGACCAGATGGCAGATTTTGTGCCTAATGGGAACATAATAATCCGAGGTAGAGTAAAAGGTCCAATATAATAATAAATTTCCATTACTTACATGCAAAATAGCAACTCTTGAAGAAAGGGTGTGATTTTAATTATTTTCTGTAAGAAGAAACTGCAGTATTACCAAATTGATTTTTTTTTTTTTAGTACACCAAATTGAAATAAAATATTAGCAGCACTTTATGTATTGAATCCTTCCTCCTCTCTAAAATTTCTCTGCAAAAGAATCAAAGAATTCAATGAAATGAAGGAGGCATTTATGAGGATCTTCTCATTTGATTCTTAAGGGATAAAATCTCCTCTGTAAATGCCATTAAATCCCAATATTTTTTGTTTAATCACACTTTCATTTTCAGATCCAGTGACAACTTTTACAGGTAGGGCAAATCCCAAGAATACTCTTTTTTCTATTTCTTCGCCATTGGGAAAGTTGTTGATCCATTTTTCTCCACTCGATCGGATCAGCAGTAGGAAGTTGAACTTGAGCTGGTATAAACTCTTCTCCCAAAAAACCCTCAAACACAGCACAAAAGCACAGTCCCCCTATTTAAAATCTCGTCTCACAAGTTGCCCTGTATATTGGCATGCTTCCATTCCTTTACTCTGCTTTTTCTTTGCTCATTGGTTGACTGACTCATATTACAAATACTTGTTCATACATAAGCTAATACTTTTGGCATTTGTTTTGAATCAGTAGTGCTTAGTGCAATGCAAAATGCAATAACTCTTACTTTCTGAACCTTTCTGATTTCCTTTTCTTCTGTTTCTGTGTTCTCTAGCTCCTTTCTCTTAATTTTATGTTCATTATTGTTTTGAATATAATTATTTACTGCTGCTGCCAAAGTTCCTCCTCCTATCCCATTTTACTGTATTAGTAAACCACTACCTACTCGGCAATCTCTCACCTCCAAGGTTATGTGGAGTGTGTTTTCCCATAAAAAAATTAAAAAAAAAAAAACCCTCTTAAAATCATAGGACATACATAATGGGTTGGGATTTGTCTCTCAAAACCTATGTTTTTGAGCCATCGTACTTACAAATATATCCTACCTGGTCACTATAATTTTGATTTTGCTTGAATGATGGTCAAACTTTTTGGTGATTGGCTTTGATCTTTATGATGTTGGTTCTTCAACGGTTTCTTGGTTAGATTGCATAGAGCATGCTAAGTCAAAGAACTCCCATCTATTCATTCAAGAGTCATGTGTGGTTTTTCATCTACCCATTCTGCACGAATGCATGAATCCTTCCCTTTGGATAGATCCTAATTAAGAAACACTTGTGTTATTTTTTCTGCAGTCTATACTCTCTTTATCCTTTTACTCCAATGTGGTTACTTTCGTTAGTTTCCTTTCTATGTTCCTTTTTGTTTTCAATTCTATATGTAAGTCAAAGTCAGGTAGCTACGACTATAATAGTATTTAGTCCATTTGGGCACCGTATTCCTTAATGTTATTGAATTTGTTCTAGTTGGTGGAGTGTTGCATTCGTTTTCTTCTCTCATTATCAGTCCCATTATATTATTCAATGCAAGAATTCTTTCTTTATGAATCCTTCTGGTCTTCCTTTTTTTTTCTCTTTTTCTCTTATTTTTTTTCTTGTGTCTGTGTTATCTCCTTTCTGTTATTTGTATGTTCTTTGTTGTTTGTTTTCCTTTTTTGACTCTAGATCTCATTATCTGTAACTTTGTCTGTGTTTGGATTATTTCTACTCCTGGATTTTGAAGAGCAAGATAGTTTGTTGGGGTAAAAAGGATAGTTTTTGAATGGCTTCCTCATCTGAATCGGACGAAAATAAGTATCTATTTGATTCTGATGGATATTATGAACGTGAGATGAATGAGGAAGCGATCTCCAATAATTATCTATATGATTCTGATGGATATTATGAAGACGGTATACGTGAGATGTGAGATGAATGAGGAAGAGGCGAACCGATACTATAAGGCTTTACCGAGGTTTTGTACCCACTTTTCCTCGTACCTATGCTTTTGGTATTGTTGTCCCTGAACTATATGGGCAAAGGAAGCTATTAAACATTACAACAGAGAAAATGTATGTATACACAATTTTCCTTTCTTATTTTTGTTTTCTTTTTTATGAAAGATAATTTTAGCCCAGCATCGAGATCATATTAATGTTTTTATTTTTATTATGTATAGGGTACAAATTTTGAGCTTGTTAAAATTGTGAAGGCAAATGGGCTGCTTGTGGTATGTGCTGAGTGGTATTCCTAATACTATAGAAGTAGAACTTTGTAGGCCAAAATCTTCTAGTTGAGAATGTTGCTACAATATGTATGAACATATTTTTACTGCTGGGTGTTTTGTGCATTGCATATGAAACCTCGATTATGATTATTAATATATATAGGTTTTATTCGAATCTAATTTTGGTGAAAACTGCGAGATCCTAATTGTAATCTACGAAGAACTTGAGAATGTTCAGTTCCAAATCTTTAGTTTTCTTAATATTTATGTTTATGTATTGAAAAATTTTAAACATTTTTATTAGATTAATTAGTTAAAATTACTAGGAGTCAAAATTACAAATAAATTAAATAAACAAAATAAAAGAGAATACCAAACAAATTTAGGGTCTACAATAACTTTAACATAAAAGCAACAAATAATCATATATAATCATGGTTTTAGGATAGTGTTTAAGGATAAAATACTGAAATATGTAGACATATGATAGATAGATTGTTGGTAGTGGTCAATTAGTGGGTTCTGGCCTGCACAGTTGTACGTCAAAATCATCGGGAGAAATACCAGCCAGCACTCGTGCTTGGAGCGTTGTGGTGGGAGAATCCGGTGGTGCTCCCGTTTGCTTGACTTGAAAGGTGAGGAAAAACAATTCCCCCAATGCAGCTTGACTATTTGCTTTCAACATCTTCACAAATTCAAAACTCGCACCCTAATTACACGAAACATGATCAAACTATCAAGTTAATAAGGAAAAAAAAATGGCAAGACAGGAAAAAGAGCAGGATACATTTTCATTGTTGTAATGTTTAATAGCTTGTCCTGCACATTCTCGAACCTCTTCGGAGATCAGGTTAATCAAGGGCAAGGGCGAAATAATAGCAAAAGCATATGTTCCAGGGAAGGAAGGTACATCAAAACCCTGCATATGGAAATTTTTAATGGATTGAAACGAAAATTATGAATAATACAAAAGAGAAATTAATCGAAAAACAAAACCTCGCTTTCTTGTATGGCCTTATAGTATCTGTTAACCTCTTCTTCATTCATCTCACGAACACCATCATCATAATATCCATCAGAATCATAGAGATAATTGTTGTTCGCAGGTACAGATAAGTCAGAGGAGACCTCTTTCTCATTCATCTTATGTTCATCATATCCATCGGAATCAAATAGATATTTATATTCATCGGATTCGGGTGAGGAAGCCATCAAAAACCACCCTACAAGCCTCTAGGTTAGGGTAACGGGTTTGGCGAGAGAGCAAGGCTGTGGGTTGCAAGAGGGAGGATGCCAAGAAGAAATAACAGAAGAGGGAGGATGCTTCAGTGAGAGAGTTTTCCTTTTGGTTTTGGGTTTTTAGGCTGGGTAGTTTTCTTTAGGGAAATTCGGATGTTTGACCGTCTCATAATTCTATTGGAATTTTTTACCCCCCGTTTTTTTAAAGCAAAATTCTTTTTCGTTTTCTCCACCAATCTCTCATCTTTTCAATTTGAATTTAATACGAAAAAAAAATCAACTTTTTAGATTTCGATTCCTGGAAAGTTTTTCAACCGCTGATAATTTTCTAAAAAAGAAAAATAGTTCTTACAATATTTGCATAATCCCGACTCAATTACCAGATTTAATTATAAGGATTTTTGGGCTATGGAGCCCTTTTACAAGAGAATATTGAGATTTATCTAATTTTTTCAGCTCTTTCTCGTTCTCTCTCGCTCTCTAGGTAATTTATTTATTTTATAAATAGATTTTAATTTATTGCTTTTTGGAGTGAGTAACGAGGAGAGAGAATAATAGTAATTAGAAGAAAAAAAAATAATAATAAGAGAGGGGAGAAAGAAAAAAAAAAGAAACCCCAAGAAAATTTTAGGGAGAATGAGAGAAATCAACTCATGGTTAAGGAACGAAGATAAAACGATGAAAGGATGGAAAATAGAGGGAAGGAACCAACCTACCTGCAAAACCGAGCAACCCTAATTAAGCAAATGCTTCTAGCTATCCGGTTTAGGGTTGCTCGGTTTTGCAGGTATCCGGTCCCTTGATCATCGAGTTTGGTGCGCATTTTGGAGAAAACCGGGAAGAATAAAATCCAAGTATCAACAATTGGCACCGTTTGTGGGAAACGATACAAACTATACACCCGAGCAACATGACTCCAGTGATGACGACTGTCATCCGAGGAGGAGGCTGAACATGGATGACTCCCTATCAGGAGGAGTTGAGGGCGAGACGAGCCGACTAAACCCAAAACGTCTAGAAGAGCTGCCTGACGTCCCACGAGTCGAAGTTCCCGAGCAACCACAAAATAAGTTTGTGGCTCTGGAAGAAAAAGTCGAGGGCATAATTAAAATAGTGGCGGTTATGAAATAATTAATTAATAAATTTAATTTTATTCGATTCTCAATTATTATAAAAATGACATTTATGTAATTTACTTTAGAATTAAGAAAAATATTATGGTCTACATTTTTTTTTCTAAAATCGTTCCCTAGTATAGAAGTATCCATTAGCTACTCTCCAAAATTTGCTCTTTGGTTAGTGATTCTTAGTCATATAACAATAATAGTCAACTTAATACTTAACCGTAGTTTTTTTGTTATACATGGAGAAATTTAGTCTTCCGTCTATATAGTATTTGAAAATTTTGAGCTACTTATCGTGTCCTAAAAATAAAGGTATTTTTCTTTTCCTCTTGTTTTATTTATCTTTTTACATATTGTTAATTTCTATTTTTAGTTATACATGAACAAAATGGAAACTGATTAATTTTATTGACTGAAAAATTGTATCTATAAGCATTTGGCAGGGATGCGGTGTACTTACCCCGATTCGATATCAAGGACACTGTAGTGAGTATTTTATATATGCATTTTTTTCATAGTACTTTATCTCATCCCTTGTATTTTTTATATCTCAGAAAAAATTGAAATACTTTCTACAATCATATAATTTTGGAAAAGTTTTTAATTAATATTAATTTAATTTGTGAAACGATTATTTAAATTGAATTATGATGAATATGATGTATCTTAAATTTATAAAAGAACAATATTTACATTACTATATTAATAAAAAAAACAGCATTAGCGTCATGAGATAACATTATGATCAAAGTCCTAATCGATGGTACATTTTTTCAATTAGATTGTTGCTGGACAATCATCGCAGCAGTTGCTGTTGAATCGATGTACAACATCAAAATTCGAAAAAAAATCAAAATTTGGTCCAAACAACCCGTTAACAATTTATTGATTGTGTTCAACCTAACTGACAAAGTTGATATTCACGATGTTATCTCTTAACCATCAATAAAGCTTTCAATTGAATAATAGTGAATGAAATTAAATAGCAAGAGAAAAGAAATACCCTTTTAAGGAAAAAAAGGAAGACTGCAAATCTTTTTTTCCCATAAATAGGTATTTTTCTCTTGTTATTCGATTCGTTATTATTCAATTGAAAGCTTTATTGATGGTTAAGAAATAATTAACATCAGCTAGTGGTTAAGAAATAATTAATATCAACTTTGTCAGCTAGTGGATTAGGTTCAACACAATCAATAAATTGTTAGGCGCTGCTTGGACCAAATTTTGATTTTTTTTTTCGAATTTTGATGTTTTACACCGCAACTGCTGCGGTGATTGTCAAGCAACAATCTAATTGAATAATGTACCATCGATTAGGACTTGGATCATCATGTAATCTAATGTTACTAATGCTGTTTTTTTATAAATATAATATTGTAAATATTGTTTTTTTATAAATTTAAAATACATCATATTCATTCTAATTCAATTTAAATAATCATTTCACAAATTAAATTAATATTAATTAAAAACTTTTCCAAAAATTATATGATTAGAGAAAGTGTTTCAAATTTGTTTGAGATAAAAAATACAAAGGAGGAGATTAAGTACTACGAAAAAAATGCATATATAAAATACTCACTACAGTGTCCTTGGTATAGAACCGGGTAAGTACACTGCCAGTCAAATGCTTGTAGCTACAATTTTCAGTCAATAAAATTAATCAGTTTCCATTTTGTTCATATATAACTAAAAATAGAAAATTAACAATATGTAAAAAGATAAAAAAAATAAGAGGAAAAAAAATACCAAAGGATAATTACTATGATACATTGGATAAAAATCGAAAATGAAGGCTTGAAAAAAGCCYTTCTTTATATCTCTTTATTATCTTTATCTAGCCTTACTATATAGATATATAATTATATACATAATTAATTATCTCGATATATATAATTATCTAGATATATCGATGGATATCTATAAAATCGATAAAAACTTTTATCAGAAATTCCATTTAGATAAATTAGATAAAGGATAAAGTAAGGGTTCAAAAGAAGAGATATCTCSAATCCTAATATATAAATAATACCAATATGATTACAAAAATATATATTTATAAATAAATAAAAATAAAGCACCTCTTTTATTTCATCCAAAAACTCCTTTTCTTTTTATTTCCACGGCCTGGCMTGGTCAGTACCTAGCCGGGCTTTTTTTGTTCGAATGAATCGTAGATGAAATTATTTATTTGATTTGAAAACACAAAATGTTTTTGTTTCAGCTCAAAATTTTCAAATATTATATAGACGGAAGACTAAATTTCTCCATGTATGACAAAAAAAAAACTACGGTTAATTATTAAGTTGGACTAATATTATTATATGACTGAGAATCACTCCTCAAAAAGCAAATTTTGGAGAGTAGCTAATGGATACATCTATACTATATTAATATGGAACGATTCTAGAAAAAAAAAAATATTAGAACATAATATCTTTCTTAATTTTAAGTAAATTACATAAATGTCATTTTTATAATAATTGAGAATGGTATAGAATTAAATTTATTAATTAATTATTTCATAACCACCACTATTTTAATTATATAGAAATTCGTTAGAACCATTACATTTACAACAATCAAACAATAAAATCAGTTGTCAGTACATTTTAGTAACAAATTAAATTACAAAAAGGCAGACATTATTATCATGATCATTACTAAAATGCAACAAAAAACTATTCATAAACATAATAAGTACAAGAAGACAAAGCTACATAAGTGAAATGAAGCAATGGAAATTGAGAAGCAATAGGTTGTTATAGGAACAAAGAAAAGAAAAAAATAAATAAATAACAAGAAGAACGAGAATGCAGATAATGAAGAAAACCAGATGGGTTCATAAACAAATAAACAAAGAAGAAGAATTGTTTATTGCAGGGAGTGGAACCACTGACTATTGATTAATGCACACTTCTAATTATGCTCCGAAGGTGCTTTTGGAAATTAAATGGAATATGCCACATACACTAAATCAATAAGCAAACAGACTAAACCAACGTCAGGCTGGATACCAACAATCTGATTCAACCCAGCCATTGCTAAAATCGATAATCAATTACAGATATGATAGAGATGAAAAACGTATCTTGTTTTGTTTTGAAGAACTAAGAAACTTGCAAGAAAACTCTCTTTCTCATATATCTTTTCCTTTCAAATATTAAGAAGCCGATTACTATCAGCAAAAAAAGAAATCCCTCTCCTCATCGCATAGCTTCTTAACATTTGGAAGGATCTAAGGAAGAGAGGGGAAGGTGTCGAATGGTTACCTCTTGAGAAATGGGAGAAATCAACGGCTGATTCGCTGAAGACCTGTGTCTTCTTATAGTCGGATCCTTTTAAAATTTTAATAGAAGAAATTAAAAACTTAATAATATATAAATATACCTTCTTTTTTCTGAGGGAATGTAATTTACAATTTTATGTAGTACAACTGATACTCCATCAGGATAACACACATTTTTGTCTTTTTCTTTATTTTTTTTCTTTTTACAGACATACAAAGAGGATTTTTATGAGTGGAATGGAATACTAAGAAATGGTACCCGAAGCTAAAATACCCTCTTTTTTTTTTTTTTACTTTTTAAATTAAGTGTAAATGGATTATGTATGGTGCTTTTATCCTCAATGTCTGATAGTTAGTATTTGTGAATTATTTTATATAATAAGGGTTAGATTTCATTTTAGAGCACAATTATGTACTTTTTTATGTTTATATATGATTATGAATAGTGCTTTACAACGGCAAATGGATCAGACGAGACAAGTTTGCATGTAATAACAACAGAAGGTTTAAAATGACGCAAATGCACAGCTACAATAGTCTAACGATGGACACCTCAGCACTTGTAGAATTCTCCACTAACAAAAATCTGTTTTTCTTTTATTATTTAACACCATTAGGTAGTCAACACGTGTACCAAGAATACTTTACGATTCTTGTGGTTTCTCTCTCTAGAAACCCTAATTTGAGGTACATAAATTTCACCACTGTAGAAACCTGTATTCATCGAAAACTGAAATACAGAA